CAGCTGCTGGAGGTGTGTGTTTCTGTGTGTGTGTGTGCCCATGCAGGTAAGGCTGCAGCTGTGGGACACAGCTGGACAGGAGCGTTTCAGGAGCCTTATTCCGAGCTACATTCGAGACTCTACAGTGGCTGTGGTCGTCTATGACATTACAAGTGAGCAGCAAACTGCTAGCTGTGTGTCCGTGCATGTGTTGTAGATAAATACATAAGAATCTATATGTGTATTGATATGTTTCTCTGCTTGAAATAGACAAAAGATTCAATGGAAAGGATCATTTTATATGTGGGATTTTCACAACATTGAGATGGAAAAGACTGGATTTAAAATGAGATTCTGGTCTCCGCAGATGTGAATTCATTCCAGCAGACCTGCAAATGGATTGATGATGTCAGGACAGAGAGAGGAAGCGATGTTATCATCATGCTAGTAGGCAACAAGACAGACCTGGAGGAGAAGAGGTAAATATGTTCATACGTGTTCGACTCTAACATTTAGCTCCGTTTAATGGAGTCTTTGACGCCAGGACGTTTTATCAAAATGAGCAGAAAGCTGCTCGAAGCAACACGTCAGAACAGAATGAATTGGCCTGAGATGCTGAGTCTGGCCTGATTTTTTTCCTGCAGGCAAATCACGATCGAGGAAGGAGAGCAGAGAGCCAAAGAGCTGAACGTCATGTTCATCGAGACCAGTGCCAAGACAGGCTGCAATGTCAAACAGGTGATCCCTGCAGTTTCACCATATTTCGCAGCATTTTGATTTCAGACTCTCTGCCATTACTGCGTCCCTCCAAGGTGATCCAGTCACTAGTGTGGACAAATACAATATAGATGAGCAAACATGTGCAACGGCGGTAACGTCTGTGGTGCAAATCCAACACTAGTTAGCTACAGGTGCACACAAAGGAAAAGGAGAGATAGATTACACATGCAAATACTCCCAACAGCATTGTAATCTAATACTTTTGCTCCTTAAGTACAAATGTATGGTTTATTTCAATACCACTTATTAATCAATTTAGGAATTTTGTACAATTTACTTCTCTATATTGTCTCACTGCTACTTGTTTTTCAAATTAAGATTTATCATGCAATAAAACACATGATAAGTTGATGATATCACATTTTTTTACACTGAAACAGGCCTCTTTTTTTTACATAATGCACTTTTAATTTGATATTTTAACAATATTTCTTTTTGCATAAATTAATTAAGCATAATTAAGCATAAATTTTTTTTTATGCTGGGCTTTTATTTTTAACAGTGCAGTTTGCAGCACCTTTAGGGATCTCAGTGCTTCCTCTGTCACTGCTCAAATATGTAATGAAGCAACATTTCAGCACCCAAAGTCTACATCAGGATAAAATCAGTAGATGTGGAAAAATAAAAGACCTATAACTAGGGTATTCCTAAATAGTTTTCTGCATACATTAAAACACAATAATCTACAGTCCATACATTTGAACCTTCCTCCTCTTCTCTCTCTCAACTGTCTTTCCTCTCTAACTCCACCTCTTCCCTCCTTCTTTCCTCTCCCTCCTTCTCTCCTCTCCCTCTAGCTGTTTCGTCGAGTTGCAGCGGCCCTACCTGGAATGGAAAGCTTGGACGACGCGAATCCTGAAGGCAGTATCCTTTATAGCCGCCGTGACTCACTGCGCCGAGAGCCAAACAGCCCGAGAAATGGGCAGCTTATTTTTAATCTCTTAGTGGTTGTTGGCTCTGGTACAAACAGACCAGGCCAGTCTACTGTCTACCCAGGCATCGGCCATTAAACCTTTTATGCTTAATAGAGAAGAAATGCACGGAGCCAGGAGGACGGTGAGGGACGCACAGCTGCAGCACCACCCAGCGGCCGTCTGGGAGGTGACAGCTGGCGAGGATGTGTGATGGAGGACGGATGTTTATAGAAGGTGAGGGAGGGATTGAAAATGAATGATTCTTATCAGTGAATGTAATTTCATTCATTGGAAATCATGCGTTTGTTCTAGTTTGTCTTTTATGATTAATAAAAAGTTAACCAGTTAGCATTTGACTTTGGACTTCAGCCTGCAGATGACAGTGTAGTGTCTGGATTTATCAATAAAACACTTTACTCCAGCACAAATATGCAAGTTGAAGAAGATAGAAGAGGTGAAGGAATAATTTAGGCATCTTAGGGTGCAGATTTGGAGCTATAGTTATGATTTAGATTTGATTTAGAAATATAGTAGTTTAGTTTTTGGATCCAAAAACTGATGTTCAAGAAGAACCTAGATTTTTTTTTCTGTCCTTATAGATTATGAACAGCAAACTCCACGGATTTCACACATCAAAGTTCACATGTCTTGCAGAGCAGTGCTGCATATGTGAAAGATTCGTGACTCCAGAGGGAGTTGCGTGAAATCTGATCAGCCTAAAGACTGTAAATCTGGGGGTGTGGAGTTAGAAAGAAGCGATGTTGGCTTACGTCTCTGCGAGCTTTGTGCATAACTCACCCGGATCTTTGGCTGGTGGTTGAGCTGCCTTGTGGGTAGTGTAGTTGCTAGGATTACAAAAAGGCATTACCTATTTCAGTGTGACATGTCGAGTCCTGATATTCGACATCTTTTCGTGACTTTTCCCTAACCGGACCATCCTCAGTGATCGACATCAAGCTGGACAAACCGGCGGAGCCCACTGTCCCAGAAGGCGGGTGCTCATGTTAATGCAGAGCTGCGTTTGGACAGCTCCCTTCACACCATAGGCTTGTTGTGTTGCTTACTACTGGTTAGCTTCCAGTTGACTTCTCTAATTGGATATAGGATCCGGGCCTTGTATCTGATTGGACAAATCAAATGTTATCTTTCAGTCCTGTTCAGTTGTAAAATATTGTATACTTTGTCAATATGTAAGTGACTGGAGGAGAAAAGGGGAAGAAGAAGAAGAAAAAAATATGCTGAAATGAAAATGAACAAAAAAACTGTTTGGGGGAAAAAATGAAAAGGGGGAGAAAAAAAACAACAACAACAACGGGACAACCAACGGAGTTCTTTTCGCTGTTATGTTTTGTATTTTTTATATATAAAAATGGGAAAGCACCAAAAATGATGCCTAAACACAGAAGGAGAAATAGCGGTGGGGTAGGGGGTGGGGAGGGGGGTCAGCCATTTTTCTAGATGGCTGAACACGTCTGAATGTCTGCAGCACGCATGCACGCTGATCTGATCTATGACCTTTGGCCTGCCCTCCAGGGTCTCCCGCGCTCTGGACGGAGGTTGACTATCTTAGAATGTTTTATAGCATCTCTCTCTCTATAGCATCTCATGACAAAACGTATCTCATTTGATATTTCCCACAAGAGTCAACTTCCAGTAGGTTCACCTAACAGTAGCTGTGAAAATGTGGCACTCTATCTCTCTATGGGTTTAACTTTTATAGAACAAACTGTACTGTGGTTTAAAAAAGGGAAAAGAAAAAAAAAAAAGAAGTAATACTATCGACACTCCCCCATCCCTGCAAAAGAAAAAAAAAAAAAAGTCCTCTCCTCTTCCTGCTTTCCTCCCTCTGTCCCTCTGTCTCTCCCTCCCCCATCCCTCCATCCCGGTAATACACATATAACAATCCACTGTAATGCACTGCACTGTATATAATAATGTAATATGTATGTTGTGAACGTCCCTCTGTAGAAGTGGTCCTTGTTCACCAGTATGAAAAATGTAATAATGTTTAATGATTAATAAATTACAGATTAAAGGGCTTCACTCTCCTAACCATCAACATTTACCTGCTAGCTAAAAAATGGTTTATTTTATTTCTGTTTTTACTGAAGCAGTGTATAAAAAAGCCTACGTAGCGTTTTATTATCAATACAAAAAATTCAGGTTTCTAGTGATGTGAATTAGATTTGTGGGAACGCTGCGGTGGACTTCTGGCTCGTTCTGAGGAAAACTTATGATTCTATTTTTGCTGCAGATTTGCTAGAATCTTGCAACAAGTTTGTGATTCTCCCAAATATTTCTGTGAAGCTAACCCTCTTACTGTTCAAAACTTATCCATCCATCCATTAGCTGCACCCACTTTCTCCTTGATGGATGTTTAAATGACCCATTAGCACGTAACCCGGTTCGCCTTCTGTTGAAATGCTGATGAAACACGAACTGTTAAAGTGCAACACAAATGTCTACAAAGAACAAAAAGCACGCTACCAAAGTGCCTTAGCAAGAATCTGTTTTCTGAAAGCTGTATCTGTAGTTGACAGCCAGTCAAGTAACCTCAAACACAAAATAAGGATGTATTTTGTTACAGAGTTTTTGGGGTTTTTTGATTTAGGGAAGACAGAACGGTTCCTTGTTGAGTCTTTTGAAAAATCTGTGTACGTTATTCAATGAGGAACAAAGTGACAGTCGGAGCAGCTGAAAAAAATGATGGGCTGAGAGCAGAACAGTCAGCAGTCATGCGACCGGCCTGTCAATCAGCTAATTGTTTGCAGTGTTCATTCTCTTCTGCCCATTGCAAAGTCGTAATTGTCAAGTTTCCTGCAGTGAGTCAGTGTCTGCAAACCTGATAGCCGAGGGGAAGTTGAGTTGGAAAGAACCTTTTAAGAAGAAAACTGTCATTGTGACACGTCAGGTCACTTCGCTGAAGCTCGTCTGGTGTAAGAGGGCAGGTATTCCCCTGCAGTTAAGCTCAGTTAATGGACAAATGAACTCCACAGAGACAAGAGGTCGAGGGGTCTCCTCCCTGAGGTGTAGCCTGCGCTGTGGAGTTTCTGAAAGTCTCAGAAAGTCCATATACATATATATAGTCATATATCTGTGTGTGTGTGTGTGTGTGTGTGTGTGTGTGTGTAATGTGGATGATTAAAAGCAAAAACTAAAGATGATTTGAATAGAAACACATGGAAGATAATTGCCATCAAGACACGTCTCCAATCAGCCTGAACCGATCCACCTGTACAACATTTCCTTCCCTGAGAAGGACACACCTCTTGCACTACAAGTTGATCAGGAGATCTCGGGTCACTTTCTATCTCATTTGCGCACATCATGTCCAAAGTGGAGGCGTTCAGGGACACGAACCTCCGCTCTCTGCTGAGGGAGCTGCGTACCGACATTGCCATGGCTGTGGACGACCCTTTCCCTCTCGTCTACGGTTTGGCAGACAAAAATATCATCACCGAGCAGCTGCTGAAGGTAAGAAACAGAGAGGGCTTTCAAATTATAAAGTAAGTGTAGGCTAGTTTCATTTTAATAGAAATGTCACCTATTTTTTATACTTTCATCACAAGCTGGTACATTGTTATGCACCTATCATGCAGAAAATATACTGAAAACGTATTGAAAACTTTTGTCATCCTTATGTTATGACGTGCATTTTAAAGGAAGTAAACTATAAAACTGAGACACCACTTGTTGTTTCCACAGGACACCCTGGAGAAGAAGGGGAGAGAAGGGATCCACAAGGCCATGTACTCCCTCCTGTCCAGGGTCTTGGAGCAGAGCAGATCCACCATCCAGGCCTTCTGGAGCAACTTATCCAAAGACTACAATCTGGACAGCTACCCCAAGCTGAAAACACTGCTCACAAGCCTGCACTCCAGTATGTGATGCTCAAATTCCATCAAAATGTTCGTCTCTCCCGTGGAATGATTTCTAATAACTGAGCTGTATGCATTGGGACTCTAACTGCAGAAGAAAAATAATATTCGATCACCCTTTAGTAATGAAATTATACATTAAAATCAAACTCATGGATGCAGTTCATGTTCGGTTAAATGAGCTACATTTTCAAAATATTAACTTTAAGTAGAAACTGGCATTCCTAATCTGTTGGTGATGTTTGCTATGTTTTCTCATCACTGTTCAGGTAACCTTTTTGCATTATTGCTGATTTCTGTTTCAGGTTTAGAATCCATGTGTCACATTGTCTGTGATTGTGTTTGACAGGAAAAGATGCTTCAGCGTCCAAAAGTGAAAACAGATCTTCTGGTGGTCACAAAACTCCCCACAGCAAGAAGAGGAGCCACGAGGACAGAGGGACAAAGTCCCAGCAACAGTATCACACCAAGACGAGTGATGCAGCAGGTCATCTCCCACAATGCATTTGCTCTGTATCCATCCTCCAACACAATTACTTCTGACACTTTCCTCCTCCTAATGGCTAATAATAAGGAATTTTAACATTTTGAAAATAATATTTTTAGAAGCGGTGCAACATTTACTTTTATGGTTGTGAATTTGGTTAAAATAAAAAAATTGTCTGTTCACCGCAGGGAGTAAAGTGAAACTATACAGAGTGAAGAGTGAGGCTCCGCCGCCGCCGTCTGGAAACAGTAACTACAGCTACTGTAATTAAAATAAATATAAAATCAGTACTCTCATACTACATAACCAACCAAAATTCTGCCCCAGGTGTACAAGTGGTGTCTTCCTCAGTCCAGAGAGGAAATCCGCTGCCCTCCTCTTCCTCCTCCTCCTCTGTGGATCCTCCAGTCAGTCATGAAGCCAGAGAAAAGAATTATATCAAGCAGGTTTACAGCTTGGATGGTGAGCAATGGGAGGAATGTCTGAAGTTCCATTCCTTTCATATGTTGATGCTAAAATTGTATGGGGAAAATAAGTATGAATTTCTAAATTAAATGCCATCTGATTAATTGTTTTTTTAATTTAACCTTTATTTAATCAGGAAAGACCCACTGAGATTAAAAAACTTCTTTTACAAGGGCGTCCTGGCCAAGTTATGAAAATGATTATGGCTTTTTATTAGGACTAAATAATGCCACAGATTATTTCTCCTTTAAAAGTCTTTGTCATTCCACAGGGTCCACCAGAAAATGCATTAAGGTCAGTGGGGAGTTTTACTCTTGCGCTTCATCAGAGGAGACAAATGCAGCAAAGTCCAATTCTGCTTCTTCTCATCAGACATTTCACCACCAGGGGGGGACAGACACAAGCATGGTGGGTTCTAACAGCCGTTCACTCCTCACTAATCTCACCTGTCTTTTAAATTGATGTGTTTGCATTTGAGCCTTGTGTGTGTCCGCATAGATTCACTATAACGATGACGAGTGCGCAGCGTGTAAGGATGGAGGGGAGCTGATCTGTTGCGACGGCTGTCCTCGAGCTTTTCATCTGGCCTGCCTCGACCCTCCACTTACATCCATACCGAAGTGAGGGGGGAAAAGATTTAAATGTACCAGCATGTGTATTTTCAACTGTTGCTCTAAAAAAGAAAAAAAGCTAAATTATTTTTTTGAATCTGCAGTGGCCCTTGGCAGTGTGACTGGTGCTGTGGACACAGAGTGAAAACAGAGAAGGCCCAAGTCCCTCTGCAGGTAAAATGATTAGAAAAGGAAGTTTACATGAACTGGAGACCAGTGGTGGGAAGAGGTTCTTGTACTGTACTTGAATTATGAGCTACAAGTAAAGCGCATCAAATTTTCTGCTGTTGGTTGTAGGAGTAAACACAAGAGTCTTCATGTACTCTCAGCATCTGAGGAGCTCACAACACATTAAATTACTTTAACATATCTACTACAAAGCATATGCTCATTTTTTTATGATGAAACTCTCCACAAGCCACAACATATTAGATTCTAATGACTATTTTGACCTTTAATTTATGAAAAAGGTGTACAACTCTCATATTTCCTGGAATTCTCATGTGGAACTGAGGGCTAATATATGTTTATGTGATTCAAACTCACAAACCGGCTGCAAGTGTAGTGGTTAGCATCGTTGCCTCACAGCAAGAAGGTCGCCGGTTAGCGTCCCGGTGAGGACACCCAGGATTTTTCTACATGAAGTTTGCATGTTCTCCCCGTGCAGCGTGGGTTCTCTCTGGGTTCTTCCTCCCACACAGTCCAAAAACATGTTGAGGTTAATTGGTGATTCTAAATTGTCTGTAGGTGTGAATGTGAGTGTGCTTGGTTGTCTCTCTGTGTCGCCCTATGAGACTCCAGCTCTCCACAACCCTAGTGAGGATTAAGCGGTGTATAGATGATGGATGGATGGATGATCTTAGTCAGTCGTCTAGAAATCAGCAGATGCTTTTCTCTTCTGCACAATTCAGTAACCCTGAAGAAGTTTCTGGCCATTTCTCTGCTCCTTTTTGCTCACTGTGGCCTCAACTTTCACTGCAACATCTATTGAAACAGCACAACCGTGGCTAAAAGTAGAGAGAATGTAAAAATGTATGTATGTATATGACACAATTTTTATGCATCAGTCATGAAAAAAGGAAAAATGAAACCTAAATTTCCTTTATGACTTATTTTACCAAAAAGGGAAAAAAAAAAGACAATTTTTCTAATACTAATCACGTGCATTATATTTTGTATTAAGACATTCTCGGCCCAGTCTCAGCAAACAAGCTCCATCCCAGACGTCTCATCCTGCTCCTTGCTGTCGTCGTCCCTCACAACAGCATCTGTGAATGTGTCCAGTGGGAGAAACCAGGTGAAGAAACCTTGTTGTTTGCTTTCTTTTTAATTCCGGCTATCATAGTTTCAACTATTTATTTATTTATTTTTAGCTCAATCTATATTTTGCATCACCACTACATGCAAAAAAACGTTTTGCTAAATATATCAGCTGTGTGTCCAGTGCTCAGGTGGAGAGCCGGTTAGTGTGAGGGAGGTTTGTGGTGTTTGTCACCTCGGAGGAGGAGACCTGACTCACTGCCTTCAGTGTTTGGAGCATTTCCACGTACGCTGCCACTTCTCCAAGTAAGACAACCACTCATTTCTTCTTCCAACGCAGTGTTACATCATTTAGACTCGCAATGAAGCATTTTTAGAAGGTGACAGAAGATGCATTATCGTGTGCATGTTTCACATAACATCCCGAAAATCCTAGTCTCGGAGTCATCTGCATTGCGTAAAGCGCATACAGTCCTTTCTGGGAACTTCCTCCAGTATTGATCAACAGTGTGCATTAAGGCTACGTGACTATTATCTAGCTAATGGTGGCTAATGGGTTATAAATGGGCCCCACATTTGGGTGTATAGAATGATGTATAATGTAAATGAGGATCAATGATTTTACTAAATGATAGCAGATGACAAATGAATCCATGTGATAACCTCTTGCAGCGTCATTTATTCATTTTAGCTCACGACAAATTTAGATTTGCCCTTTTCTAATAGAAAACTAACCAAAAATACAATATTAAAGAGACACATAATGTAAAAAAGCATGTTTTACATAAAGAGCACATGTTAGTCTGCCAGCTGAAAGCGTTCGAACCTCCTTCCCTGTAATCCTCTTGAGTGTTGGAAATTACATTATCGATCACCAGAAACATTATACACCACAGTCTGACTCAATCAAAATGTTTGTGTGTTTCCCAGAGGGAGGTCCATCTGCTTGTCCTGCTGCAGGACATGGGGCGGCTCTGCGGAGAAAGAGTCTGAATCCAGACAGGTGTGTGTCCACGTAGAAAGACATCTCTGAGTAGTCTGTGCTTATACAGAGAATACAAAACATTCTTTATCTGAGTATGACGGAGTGCGATCTGTGTATCTCCAGCTTGCACCGGTGGTACCAAACACGCTCAGCCATGATCAGAGCGTCACCGTCTCCGAGCCCGTCCTCCACAGAGATGAGCTGGACTCCATCCTGGGAGACGTGAGTGGGGCTCAGTTACATGTCGATGCCACAGATGTAGACGTGATACGAATTTAGCAGCGCGCGTCAGACACAAGATGGCCGCTCCTCTTATCTCACAGACAGGGAATGAGCTGTCACAGTAAACACGCAGCACTGAGGACAAAATAATAAGTAGAGTCGTGTTGACGTGGAGTTTATCTTTACTGTCTGAAATGTGTCTCTACTATACTCAACTGTTTTTTTGTTCCTCTTTGGGTACAATATTGTGTGTATTGTAAATTATTAGGACATTTCTATTCTCTTATCGTTACTTAATCTTTCTTAGATGTTGCTCAAATACATGCCTTTACATATGTCACCAAGGAGCTTTTGAAGAGTTCATTTGCAAAAAACAGATAACTCCATTTTTGTAGATTTTCAGAAAACACATTTTTTGTTGTTGTTTGCTTGAAGTAGCGTCAATCAAACTGAAGTTATAGTCTCAAGATTTTGCTCACGTTTGTTCGTGAAGCCTCTGTTTCGAACAAACATGATTCACATCAGACTCTGACGACTGTTTGAAGATTTTTTCCATCTCGTATATCTTCTTGAGGACCAGAAGTACTTAGATGAGGACCGTTATTTGGGTAATATGTTTTGACGATGTTGCCTGATCATCGCTGGCCCGTACCAGGCAAGCCGACGTGTGGCTTTGACTCAGTAGAAATGACAAAAACACAGATAGCATAAGTTTGATTGATGTTGTCTCAGGTAGACGATGGAAAAGTGGGTTTTCTGAAAGTTTGAAGATGGAGTTGTCTGGTTTTGCAAATGAAGCCTTAATTTTTGGCCTAATAAATGCTGTAAGGCCCCTGTTTTTAACAATATCTCACATGATGTCCATTATTACGTCACCAAGCCTTTGGTACAACGATTGATATGTCTGTGTATCTCAGCAGAACTCCATCGACGGCATCTTGCAGTGGGCCTTCCACAACATTTCTCGGCCTCTTCCAGACTCTCAAGGATGCTACCAGTGACACCATCGGTCACACGATGTTGTAAATCGATGAAACAAATGCATGGATATTTGAAATGAGCTGACTGAATGCACAGAACCAACTGAAGATTATTTGCTTCTTTCTTTCTTATTTTCCCTGAAATAAATGTCTGGTGATTGACTTTTGATTACTGTCATACACAGTTGGATTAAAAGGTTACAGAGTCCCACAGCAAGAATTTGTAGTTTGGCCCCAATTGTGGCCCCTTTTTGACCAATTTACATCCGTCCTCTGAGCTTCTACTGCGGTAACTTTGGGCAGTTAGGTTATGTTATCAACTGTTTCAGGCTTTCTGTTCATTGTTGTGTAGCATCTACCAGCTTTAACTCACACTGTGCCAAAACAGCACAAAATTCTAGCTTGTGGACTCCAGTAAAATCAACACATCGGAAATAGAACAACGTCAAGTTTGCTGTGCTTGCATGTATTGTTAATGTTTATGGTGTTGATGCTGTTGTTCAAGAGAAGTAGATTGCTGCTCAGTGAGGACATCAAGCAGATGAAATTCCATTTTTATCTTCTTTGAGTTTATTCTGACTCACCGGGTGTAGACTGTGGGCATAAGTCTGTCATTGGCTGTGCATTTCACACAACTTTCCTCCTCCCCCTCTGATATCTATGTGTCACCATTTTCAAAATCAGACACCCTGCAATAGACACTTTTTACTCTGCAAGAGAGGTTCTCCAGTCAGAACACACTCAAAGATTTAGGCCTCCACTAAAATGTCCTGCAAGTTCCTGCAGTTGAAACCAGAGTAATGTGTATTTACTCTTTTGCCAACAATTCCCCATGAAGTCCAGTGTTTCCAGCGCTACTTTCCTGGAATAAATTGATTTGTCATAGTTAGTAGAAATATTTATTTAGGAATAAACACGATGCTTGTATAAACCAAAGCTGTAAAGAATGACATTGGGTCTGACAGCAAACTTAGCTCATGATGCAGAACTGACTTTAGCTGCTTTTATATTTAACTAGGGCAGATTTGCCAAAACTCACAAGCATTGAACCTGAACATTTTTGTTAGTTGTCTGTCCTCCCTTATCTTATCTTTGTCCCGTCCTGTTGTACAAGACCATGGCCGAACAGGAACAACTGTGTCGGGGTCAGCACAGATGTGGGAGAGCTGGCAGCGGGCCACGGTTGTCTCTGCTCAGGCCAACCAAAAAACCTGCCATCGTTCTGCTGCTGTGGTCCCGGAAACCTCCAGATATTTTAATGTATTTACATGTTTTGTCTATGTTTCCATATGTTTAGTGCTTCGGGGAAAACAGAGGATGGTAAACTAATTCCGTATCAGGACATAGTTTTGCTGCAAACCGCCCTGAGACACGCAAATGTTGGAAGAGAGCATCCCGCAACTGCAAATAAATGCAGAAATTCACATATGTACTGTGTTAAAGAAAAACAAGACAATGCAAACTTCCATGTGTGCACAGAGTCATTTTCTCCCTCTGTTTGTATCCGGAGAAAAATTCACATACAAACGTTACCAGCAGATGGTTTCAATACAATGAGGTATGCACGCTGAGAAATGCCTCCGTTTAACAGGAATTCCTTGAGGACTATATCACTTAGATGAGGAATGTTGTTTTTGTCATGCGATTCATGAGTTTTAGCATGACTGTCAGAGGGATGGAGCCCGGCCAGGCAGCGCACAGATTTTTCTCCCCTCGGTATTCGGTTGCCATGGCTCCCAGCTCTTACAGGCCCAAAACAGAGGATGGGAAACATGCTCGTTGCAGTTTGTGTATCCGTGCATGTGCGGCTCTGTTTATTTATCAGCCCACTTTCTCAATGGTTCATGAAACATCCTGCATACTTGATGGCTCCTTGTCCTCGCAGGGGAGGCAGCATCGCCGACACTGGGGGGATGAAAAGCTGCAAGAGAGGAACAAAAGAGGAGTTTATGCAACGAGAATAACAAAATCCGGCATAAATCAGCCTCTAAGTGTGGATAAATAGCAGTAATTTGGCTCTTCTTCAGGCTGCACAGTTGAAAACATTTCTCATTTTCCAATTCATAAAAGCTGAAGGGGATATTTTGCATAGAAATCTGCTTACAGTGTTCTGTGTTTACTGTGCAGACTTCAGTCAAGTCTAATGCTTTACTGTCACACAGCTCTCCTCTTTCCAGTTGCATAAAACATCCCAAGAGAGCAAAAGAAAAAAGAAAGAAAAAAGCTCCTTCTCACCACTAGATGGCTCCCATCTGAGAGAGTTAAACAGTCTCTCACCAAACCATCCATCCATCCATTATCTATACACCGCTTCATCCTCACTAGGGTCGTGGGGGGGCTGGAGTCTATCCCAGCCGACTTAGGGTGAAGGCAGGGGACACCCTGGACAGGTCACCAGTTGCGAGGCAACAGTGCTACCAACTGCGCCACCTTGCAGCCCTCTCACCAAACCATGGCTCTCAATATGAGAAGAGGAAGTATTTTCTCCTGCAAGACAATGCTTGAGTTTATAGGCAAGTGGGAATTACTAAGGTTTCGTCATAATAAACGGGACAAAAGTAAAAGTAAATGAATTCTAGGAGAAACTGTAAGTTTTGAGGTACATGTTTTCAGATAGAAATGCTTTCACAGCTGTAATCGTGGGATACTTAGAATATCAGCAATTTATATATAAAGTATATAAGCTTGTGTATATCAGCTTATGATGTGTTATTACAGATAACATCAGTGAATGTATCATCCATCCATCCATTATCTATACACCGCTTAATCCTCACTAGGGTCATGGGGGGCTGGAGTCTATCCCAGCTGACTCAGGGTGAAGGCAGGGGACACCCTGGACAGGTCACCAGTCTATCACAGGGCTACACTTAGAGACAGACAACCAAGCACACTCACATTCACACCTACAGAATATTTAGAATCACCAATTAACCTCAACATGTTTTTGGACCTTGTGGGAGGAAGCCGGAGAACCCAGAGAGAACCCACGCTGCACGGGGAGAACATGCAAACTCCACACAGAAAGATCCCGGGTGTCCTCACCGGGACGCGAACCGGCGACCTTCTAGCTGCGAGGCAGCAGTGCTAACCACTGAATCACCTTGCGGCCCCACTTGTAGTATATTTTACAGCTAATACTTATATAAAGTAAAGTTTTTAATGAAGCATTTTTACTTGTAAATCACACATTTTATTGTAGTTTTCTGAAGTAAAAGATCTTAATTCTTTTTTACCATGTCAGTGTTGTGGCTCTTTTTCTTAACACTTTTGAAAATTGTGCTTCAAAACAAATTCTAATGTAGAGTTGTAGTCGCCGAGGAATAAGTAAGGGCTCTTCTTGTTTGTGTAAAGTCATGACACTTGGCATTGTGCTGTGTTTACGTTCTAAATAGTCCTGTGTTGTAGGTTCATCACCCCTGTTGCATCACGTCTCCGCTCCAGCCTTGCATACCTTATTTCCCGCCAAACTGCATTCTCATATGATGTCTGTGTCACTGAGGTTATGAAGAGTATTTGTTATGCACTATTTTAACCCTGAATCATGCTTTAGTTTCACCTCTACAGACCCAAACACTTGATTTTGAGCTGTGATCGATGAAGAAGAGGAACAAGTACTCAACACATTCAACTACATTTGTCCAAATCCAGTGAGCTGTGAATTTCTTACTGCTTCATCAATAAAATAATACTCAGAATATATCTGAAGGGGACTGAGTTTGTTCGGAAGTGATTCAGCAACAGTGAAAGAACATTACAGTAGGATGCATATCTTAACTCAGCGTCAGTCGGTGTGAAATCACAAGGTGACATTCCTCCAACACACACATCCTGTTTCGAGTCTGTTGCTCACAGGCCTGGAACTCTTTGGAGGACGATGTTAAGTGAAATTCCCACGCTTTAAGGCATCCTCTCCTCTCGTTTCTTGGCACTTTTATGCTGCGGGCAGCTTTCCAGAGCGTGTGTTCCTGCTGGGCCACCGCTAGTCTGGTCTGAAGAGGTGAAGCCTGCGCGACTTCCAGTCAGGACCCTTCGCTCTTTGTTCGTACTATTGTTGTGGGCAGGAAATTGCAAGAGGCCCAACGCAGACTTGGCATGAAGCTTCAGAGCAGCAAGTGCTACTTCTCTGAACCACTGACTAATAACAGCACATGTGGGGGTTTTATTTCCGCTGAATGAGACTTTCTAATCAAACTAGTGAGGATTTCTTTTTCTTCAATGGTGTAAAACGTCTCTGATGATTTGTGGTTTCGGTTACATGTTCCACTGAATGACATGCGCATACGTGGTTCGTCCTTGTTTATTGAACTGTGTACCCGCTTTGATATGTGCTGATCTGTTTACAGCTGCAAGAGCTCATTGACCCTAATTCACATTGATTGTTGGAACTTCCACTTCTCCCATGTTGTGTATACGTACAGTCGTCCTCAGATGTATTCATAACCTCCCATTAAAGAAGGAAAAGAAGAACTGCTGTCACTGAAATTGACAAAAGTAATAATAAATAAAAATTGAATGAAAAATCATGACATTGCTTTTGAGTTGTGGTTCAACAGAAATATTTTTTAAAAAAAACAAGCAAACAAGCATGATGGGACCCATAAGCTAATATTTAGTTGAACAACCCTTTGAGTCAATCACTGCCATCAGGTGTTTTCTGTAACTCTCAGTCAGACTTCTGCACCTGTTGACAGGTGTTTGGATCTTGATCCACTGCTCATCAGCAAAGTGCTCTCATTTGGACAGGTTTTTTTTAAAAATTTTTTTAATGATTCTTTCAATCCACAATTCAAAAGCAATGTCTTATTTCACTAAATTATAATTTAGCAAATTTTTATTTATTATTACTTTTTTCAGTTTCTAGTTCTTTGACTGACTATTATGAATTTTGCCTTTTCTTTAATGGAAGGATATGAATACATGTGAGGATGACTGTATATATTTATGTATATATTGCTGCTGCTGCTGCTGCTGCTCGTCTATATATTTAATCTCTGGAATAGTAGTTGATCGTAGAACAAGAAAACATGCTGTTCACAAGCTTAAAATGACCTTTACAGGTTTTTACATAAAGCTGATCCCTTCCTTTCACCACCACACGTGATCAAACAACATAAATGAACTAATGTAGACACAAAATCATTTTCTTTCATCAATCTCTAC